ACAGCTGCAGGTGTCATTATGGTACTTCTGGCACCACAGCATGGGCTGGGAGCCAGGGGGTTTAGGAGCCTGTCCCAAGGGAAATACACTCTTAGTGATGGGCAGAGGAGCTGACTTAAAATATGGGTATGCAGTGGTTTGTGGCATACATGGAAAGGTCACACATGGTGGCGGCAATATCAAGAGTATGGAACTTACAGGTATGGGAGTAAGAAGTGGGAGAGAAAATAAATGTGGAATTTAACAGTAAAAGGCACTCTGGAGAAGAACACAAGGTGTCTGATTAGCTTAGGTATCATTTTCTCTTGTGGCTTCAGATATTTTTTCAAGCAAGTTTTGGGACATGTGGAGTTAATAAATTTTGTAAGAACATGCAGAGCACCAGGAGCTTGCATGAGCCCTAAGTTAAACTATGTCATTGTTTAACCCCAGCTGGCAACTGAGTACCATGTAGCTACTTGTGAATCATCTCCCCCCAGTGGGATGGGGAGGAGAATCAGAAAAAGGTAAAATCCATGGGTTCAGATAAGGACATTTTAATAATTAAAATAAGGTATAATATAATACTACTAATTATAATGGAAAGGGAAATAGAGAGAGAGAAAGAGATAAACAAACAAACAAACAAAAAAAAAAACCCCAATAAACACCCCAATAAGCACAATGCCATTGCTCAGCACCCACGACCAATACCCAGCCCAACCTGAGCAGCGATCTGCGCCTTCCAGGTAACTCCCCCCCAGTTTAGATACTGGGCATGATGTGCTGTGGTATGGAATACCTCTTTGGCTAGTTTGGGTCAGGTGTCCTGCCTCTGCTTCCTCCCATCTTCCCGTGCCCCTCCTCATTAGCAGAGAATAAGAGACTGAAAAGTCCTTGATCAGGGCAACACTGTTCAGCAGCAACTAATAACGTTGGTGTGTTACCAGCACTGTTCTCACACTAAATTCAAACCACAGCACTGCACCCACTACTGGGAAGAAAATTAACCCTACCCGAGCTGAAACCAGGATAAGCCAAAAAACAAGAGAGAATGTGAATAGGGCAGGATGTATAGGTGCTCTGGAAGAGGTTTGTGGTTCAGGGGCAGGCTAGCCATTCTCCTACTGCGAGCTACTGGGCTCGGGACCCTGCTGTCCATCCATCACCTTCCCAGCTAACTGTGCTCACAGAAGTCAGGTTTCTACATGGGAAAACAGCAAATTCTATGAATCTATGTCCTGTGGCTGAACAAGGAGATGCTCTGTGCTGCATTTCTTCTTCTTTTTGTTATTTCCCCCCCTCACAGAAATATCCAAGACTGCATGGAGAACAGGAGAGGGAGCCAGCACAGGCACCAGGCACTCTGCTACCTGGTGCAGGATGTGTCATTGTGCCCAAGCTTTTCTGTAACACTGATGATGTCAAGTTGGATATGGGATGAGAAGGACTTCATCCTGCCTATCCTGATTTATGGCATACAAGTGGTGATGGTGTTTTTTTTTTACCAATCACACCAAACTCCCTCCTTGCAATTCAGTGCCATGAAAGATTCACCACTGACTTATAGTGCTTTAAATTAAGAAAATAATATTTTAAAACTTAAAAACCTCATTTGGCACCTTATTTACACTGGCATGAAATTATTATTAAGTTAGGAGCAATTAATTTTGTTTGTTTTTATTCTAGTATCTGGGGGAATTTTGTGGTGTTTGGTGGTTTTGTTTGATTTTTTTGTTTGTTTGTTTTGGTTTTGTTGGGTTTTTATTTAATGCCTTAGTGAGCATAAAACCAGCAATGCAGTAGATTTCAATGTTCATTCCAGGTGAGGAAAAATCAGTTATTCAGGTCTCAGAACACATTTTACTCTCCTCCTTTTCTAATTGGAAAACTGCTAATAAAATTCATCAAAAAAATCAAAGCTCTACTGTCTTTACAGTACTGTGTCTGAAACACACAGGTCTTACCGCTAAGCAGTGCTTGTGTGTACGTTTTAACCCTATGGATGCACTGTCTGTTGAAACAATAAAGCAGATTTGATAGTCACAGCTTTCTCTGCGTGCAAATAAATAGAACTTCACTGTGTTTTCTTCAGTGAAGTGATTTGAAGGACAGTGGGAAAGCCTGTTTTCCTCTGCTGACTGTCCTCTGTTCTTGATGTGAAGAAGAACACTCTGAGAGAGGCACACCCCTACCAATTTGGAATACCAGGGGGCATTTTGATCCAAATTTCTCAGTTCAGTGCGTTAACTGAAAGTTCAGAAGTTGTTAGTGGGGAGAAGGAAATTGCACAGATCTTATTTCCTTGAGTCATGATGGAAACCCTGCAGTAACTACATTTAATATAAGGAGCCATCACTGAACTGACTTCTGAGGCTTTGGTGTTCATAAAGGTAATGAAGAGATAATCAAGCACTGAATGAGCAGAACTGTCGCGATCTCTCAGCCCATCCACAGTGACTCCCAGGAAGCTCTGAGCATGGCCCATGAAAACCCTGGCATCCAGCCCTGGTATTTTCAGGTAACTTGCTGAAAAGAAACCCAGGAAGTCTTTATTGTCCTTAGATTGTTTAGGCAGACCGTCTCATACACGGATGTGTCCAGGCTTCTCTGCTGCTGCACCAATCTTCCTCTTACTGATTGTGCTCATGGTTTCTGACTCTGATGTTTGTAGCAGTCATCACAGGCTCCACAAAGCCAGCACAAAACAAATGTCCTGTGTTATAAAGGCCATTGATGGCCAACTTCCTACTTTGTTATTTTGCTAGCTTGGTTTCTCAGGCAGAGTTTTAGTATCAGTTTTAACTCTTTCCAAGCCTTCTTCCATACAGAAATGCAACAACCTGCTGCCTCCTCCTCACACAATACATAGATGTATCTGGCACTGCAAATAAACATAAGTACTGCCACCCAATTAGTGTTTGAAGAAAATACAAAAAAAGGCATAATCTTTTACTTTGAGCTGGAAGAAAACTATTCGTATTGTAATTCTCATGAGGTTCAAGATGGCAAGTCCTCCTAGGAGGTGGCCAGGTAAGGCTAAATCTTGCTTTATTGCTCCAGACGTTAAACTGTAAGGAAGCAGTGTGCTTGGTGCCGAAAGAAAGTTGCTCTGGGGCAAACTTGTTCCTTAAATTTCTAACCTCTGTTTTAAAGACAAATTTGGTAAATTCATGTGCCCAATGTGCAAAGACAGATTAAATCCAACCTCCACTTGTATTATTCTGTGATTACTCAGGCTGGCCCATTCTTGTTTTAGGGAGCTCAAGTATTTCTTCCACCTGCAACTTCTTACCATTTTTTTTTCTTTTAAATCTTGTTACTGTGATATCTCTTTTTATCCTAACATAGGCTAACAGCCTTAACTTGGAAGATATTCTCTGTCCCCTCTAGCAACCTGCCAGCAGCTCTTCTGCTCGTATGTTAGCTTACAGACCATCTGCTTGCCAGGCTCCCCTCCTAATAAGGTTTTTGTTCAGGACCCAGGTTCCCAGGGGCTGCCAAGCATCCGCACATGTTCCGGCCATGTTTCTTGATTTCCCGGTGTATAAATCAGTAATATGTCGTTACAGCCTTTGTTAGGACCAGTTCTAGTAATCTGAAGTATTTCTCCTCACCAGGCATTCCTCTTTTAAAACTCTCTCATCATGCAAAATAAAGAACATTTTCTCTAGAACAACTCTAGAGAAAATCTTTTTAGTAGATACTTTGCTGCTCAATGTATGTTCACAAGAGCGCTGAAAGAGCCCATAAAACCATGGAATAATTTTCTGATGATAACCCTTCCCCTGCATTTGCAGTTTGTAAATGAGAAAGCATACAGGAAGATATATAGTTGAATCCTTCCACATAATCCATACCCAGAATTAAGAAGTGGGCCCACAACTTCAGAAATCAACATAGGCACTCAACCAAACACACTGTAAAGGGTTTCAGAGACAAAGGTGCGTCTCCCTGAGGCTGGTGTTATTGGCTCCCTGGTCTCTGACCACAGGCACTACTTCTGACCCAGCTGCCAACTTCTCTCACTGGCCAAGACATTAAAAATCCTTTTGAGTTTAGTAGGTTGCCACTGAACTGTTTGTGGAAAATGGCATCGATGTCTCCTACATTTAATTCATGGAATTACGGTCACGGTAAGTCTGCAGTCTCCTAAGAAGTTGTGTTTAGAAGTACAGGCACTAAGTTCATTTTCAGAGCTATAACTGTCATCTGGAACAGCTAAAGCACTTTTGTTTTTTTTACCCTCTTGAATATATGATAAACAATTCTGTTCTGAAAGGATGTCATCACTAAGAAGGTGAAACCACTCCCCAGCTTTGACACCCCTTGCTGCCAGCCTGGTGTGAAACAGAAAGGATGTATATGAAGGCAGGAAGGACGGCTAGATCGGTTCCTACGGAGCAGTCCCCGTTACCATTTTGTCCTACAGCTGGTTTACCACCACCAGCCATGTCTCCCAGCAGCTGCAGGCTGCTGAATTCTATAGCAGTAGCCATGCCCTGTGCTTCTGTCCTGGTTTCAGCTCGGGTAGTGTTAATTTTCTTCCCAGTAGCGGGTGCAGGGGCTGTGTTTTAGCTTTGGGGTGAGAACAATGCCAGTAACACACTGATATTTTGTATGTCGCTCAGTAGCACTTTAAATAAAGGACAGACGCGGGGTGTCCCGTCCCACGGACGAAGGGGCTGCCGTAGCCACCCGCAAGCCCGGCCCGGACACGACTGTCCCACTCCGCGCCCCTCCAACCCACGCCGGGACTCGAACCCTCAGCACCCCGCATCCCACCCCCCCCCCCCCGCGCTTTGGGCAGTGAGCCCGGACTGCGCGTGCGCAGAGGCCCCTCCCCGGCAGGGTAGGCGAGGCGCACGTGCCGCTGGCGTGCGCGGAGGCAGGGGCGGGGCAGAGGGCGCGGGGCAGAGAGCGCGTGCGCAGGGGGTGGGGTTGGGCCGCGCGCGCCCGTATGCCGCTGCGGGGCGCGCCGTGTCCTGGGCTTAGTTCCCCGTGGGCTGGCCCGGTGGCGGCTTCCTCCCGCTCCCTTCGGCGCCATGGACGAACAGAGGGTGAGTGCCGGCGGCGGCCGGGACCGGAAAGGAAAGTGCGCCTGCGCTCCCTTAGCCAGCTGGGCTGCGGCGGGCGGCAGGAAGGGCCTTTCCCCGCGGCGTCGGCGTTGCCCCGGCGCTCGGCCTGGCCGCCTGAGGGGAGGGGCGGCGGCCGCGCTGTGGGAGGGCGGCAGAGCCGGGAAGGCGCTTCCCTCGTCCCGGGCTGAAGGCTCCTGCGGACGGCCGGGGAGAAGCTTCCCCGCGGACGCTGGCTGCGGGCGCTGCGGCTGTTGCACTATAATGAGGCGCGGTTCTGCTGCAGAGCGCTTTCAAGCTCTGCATTCCTGTCATAAGTAATTATGAGTGTACTTAGGCCGCTCTGTTTCCCGCTGGTGGCATCCTATGTTGAAGGGAACTAATTAATAAAAGCGTTTTGTAGTTGGTTTCTTGTTTTTGGTTTTTTTTTTCCCCCCCCTGTGGCTGCTGCCCTGTAATTTTCTCTTTCCCTAACTTGCCATCTGCCCCTTCAGGGAAATCACTGAGGAGCGGGGATGTGCCTGGCAGAGGACTGGGCTTTCTAAAAATGATACTCTGTCAGAAAGAGTTCTGACTCAGCCTTTTGGCTTTCAGTGCAGAAAGGCTTCTGTTCCTGCCTCGGTGTTTTCCTTGTCTTGGCAACTGGTTTGTGTATAGGGTCTGGGTAACTACTGGCTTAAATGTACAGATCACAGATGTTTGCTACTTTGGTTAAGTGTTTGTGTGCTGCTACTTGAAACTTGGCTACACTTTGGAAAGTGAGATAGGAAATAACAAAAAAAAAGTGTGCTCCTGGTAGGTACTATTTGAGTCTGCCTGCCCCTGCCTGTTTTATGTGTGATTAGCCTCTGCTGAGAAGGAATAAATGAGGGCTGCATCTGTTGTGGGTGCTCCAGGTTGATGTTCCTGAGTGGCGTCATTGTTATTTGAATTTCTGTGCTGCTCGGATGTTCTTAATACAGTAGTAAATTTGCAGTTGATCTTTTATTTTACAGTTGTTAATTTGCTATTGTCAGCTGTATTGTCTTAAGTATGTCTTCAAACTCTGGCAACTTCAATGTGTGGGCAAGTGCAGAAGGTTAAAGTAATAGCGGCTAAGTAAATTTGAAATTCAGTCTGCATGTGAAGGTTAGTACGACACAGGATTTTGTCCTAAGCCTGCAGAAATGCTTAACTGTATCCTGCATCCACTTCTGTCAAAAGACTTCAGTATGATCTTGAACAAGTTTGTAACTTGCTTCTTAAACAGAACTGATGTAAACTGTTTAGTTTATCAAAGTTTACTCTAACTTTGAGTAGATGAGGTGCCCATCTGCTTCAGCATATGCTATATGATGTTAGTTACTAGCTATTCGAAGAAGGGTATATTGTCTAGTTTTATACTTTTGGCAAGATTACAAGCCACCACATGTTAGCTTGTAATAAAGGGCTTCCTGTCCTTTTTCGTGTCATTTCATGTTCTTCATCCCTTGCACATCAACTCTGTTGCTTTACAAATGCCAGACGTGTTTTTTTTCTAGCAAGAATGCATTAGATTCAGAGTGAGAATAGGATATAAAAGTGAAAAGCAGCATGAAGCTCATTGATAGCACCAAAAATCACTTCTGTGATAAACGTGCTGTAATGTTTTAAAAGTTAATTTGAAACTGACCTCATCTGACACATGCTAGCTAGAGTGAGTTAGGAGAAAATTAGTTTTAATAAGATTCTGTGAAATGCTACATCCCTCAGTAGGCAATAGATGTAAATTTCATTCAGTGTAGAAATACCAGGAAGGTTTACAGAGCATGGTGCTGTTGTAATCCTTTTGTGAAGTAATTTAGAATACATGCAGCAGCTGCTGCTTCTGCTTGTAATTTTTCTAGCACCCTTTTCATTATATGTAATTGTAGTGACTTTTCAGAAATTCCTGTTACAGGAGGAAATAGCAACAGTGCAGTGTGCTGAATTTGGCATGTGTGTCTATTACATATTGATGATTAGAAAATTCCAGTAGAAGATACCGTATATTAGTGATTCCTAACAGCTGACTTTATTTGCATTGCTGTTTAAGAAAAAGATCTGTCTGCTGCTGGTGGATATTTTTAGGGCTTTACATCTTCATTTGTAGGTGGTGTCCAAACTTGTTCAAGTTTGACCCAACCCGGTAAAATTCTTGTTCAGAGAAATTGGTAGCTTACTTTGAAAGAGCTGTACTGATCTGTTTGGTCAGTTGGCTTCAATTTTAGATGTAGTGGAGAACGTTGTTTGATGGCCATCTTTCAGTTGCAGCTATGCATTTCATCGTGCCAAGGCTTCCTAAGCATTCCTCCCATGTAGAGCTTTTCCTTTTATCATATGAAGCTGTAAAGCCTCCAAACATAGTTCAGTAGTACTATGTACAAGAAGACCAACTTTTTTTTTCCATGTGGTGTAACTGAGTAAGCCCTAAAATCCTGTCTGAAAGAGGATTGGGAGTTTTCTTGTTCATCCAAATTGACAGTTACGTTTATAGGATCTAAGGCTTAACTGCAGGCTGTCTGACATGGCAAAACAATTGCCTCTGGTCAGTAATGAATGCAGAAGCAGCTTGGTTGGACAACGTTGTTTCATCTGCCATTCTGATCTGTGCAGAATTGCCCTTAAAAATGTTCTGTTTAACCAGACAATGGATGGATTCTTTAATGAAGTGATTGAGACCTGCTGTACTCCTTGTTTCTGAAAGAAGCCAATCTGGTTTTGTTTCTTTTCCTCAAAGTCCTGATTTCAGTCATTGCTGTTGTAGTCGGGCCACTGTATTTTTACATAACGTTATCACAACGTATGTGGTAAAAGCAGTAAGTTTTCACTTCTGCTGTTGCTCTAACTTTGTGAGCATGGCAGTATGCAAACCGACAGTGGGCTGGAGTACCAATAAACACATCACTGCAGATTTGAAAACTGCAGAGGAAGGGGTGAGGACAGGTATGGGCATGGCTTAGGACTAGTGTAGAGATTCCTCACATGGGACATAGTGTCTGGGTTTGCTGTGGATGTTGTGTAAGGATAAAATATTTTTCTTGCTTTTCAGAAAAAAATATGATTTAAGTAGCAAATGTTTATTAAAACAATGCTTATGGGAGGGACTTCTACAACATCTTCTTGGTGGTCTAGCTGTTTTAAAGGTGTGCTTATTTGCTCCCTATGCCTTAATTTCCTAAATGTTCTCAAATAACAATGTTAAGCTGAGCAACTTGAAATCAGTTTTGCTTATAGAACTTGCTATCAACCAGCCAGAATTGAATAACAAAATTGTTAGTCACTCCCTCGCATTGTCCTTTATTTTTACTTGCATATGCTGATGTGTTCTGAACTTACTATACAATTACACAACTTGATGTAGTTTTAAGTACCGAGCATTGATGAAAAATTCTTAGAAAGTGATTGAGTACTCAACATAATTGGACTTGATAGTCTTACTTAGTTTAAAAATGCTCTTGCATGTGCTTTATGTTGTTTTCCTCCTTATGATTCGGAGAAAACTCCAGGAACAAACTTGCCAACAAAGTTTTCAAGCTGACAAGCAGGTATTCTTTATTGCGGCGCCAGGAGACAGGGGGCATAGCTCCTCCTTACGTGTGTCTCCGTATTGGTACACAAGCTGTCCTTATATAGTCATATATAAGGCATACATACATATTCATGAGGCTACGTATGGATTACATAATTTTCCAGAAAGTTCCCCGCATGCGTACAGAATTGTGGTGGCGGTCTCTGAGGGTCGTTTACTTCTTCCAACAATCTTCATCACTTCTGGCAGCCTTTGAAGCATGTGCAGTAGATGCTTATACCAGCTTAATTGGTTCATTAGCACCAGAGACATAATAATCCTCCTGTCCTCCTACTTATCAGTTGGTTTAACTCTAGCCCATCCTGGACACCTGCCATTCCCAGATATTCTTAATCCCTGTGTCCTGTTCTTCTAGACTGTTTTTCTTAAAACTGTGTCAACTATAACAATTTCTCTTGTACAAGAATTATGTCCTCTAGCTGTACTCAACTTTTTTTTTCCTGTGTATCATGCACCTCAGTAATTTTCCATTGCTACTGTTACAAAGCCATAAAACTTAATATTACTTAAAACTGATTCTAAAGGTTTATATATTCCATTTTGTAATTTTGTGCCCCCCCCCCCCCTTAGTATGTATTGTGCAAGCTGAATCTACTGTTTTTTAATAGCTGGAGTAGTACACCTGTTGTGGTTTGAACAAAGTCAGCCATAAATCACAGAGTCACCCTCTCACTCCCCCCCTTTTTGCCTTTCCCCTGCTCCCGGAGGGATGGGAAGGAGAATCAAAAGAACGCAGCTCCCACAGGTTGAGATAAGAACAGTTTAGTAACTAAGGTATAACACAAATCACTACTGCTACCACCAATGATAATAATGATAAAGGAAATAACAAGGGAAGAGAATACAACACCTCACTATCCGCCGACCGATAACTCGCCCCCCCAGCCCGACCAAGCACCAACTGATACCTAGTCCAACCCCGCAGTTCTAGCCCTTCAGGGTAACTCTCAGTTACATGCTGGACATGACATGCTGTGGTATGGAATACCTCTTTGGCTAGTTTGGGTCAGGTGTCCTGTCTCTGCTTCCTCCTGGCTTCCCCTCCTCTCTGGCAGAGCATGAGGCTCACAAAGTCCTTGGCCAGACCAAACATTTGAGCAGTAACTAAAAACATTGGTGCTATCAGCACCGTTCCCAGGCCGAAAGCCAAAAGCACAGCACTGCACCAGCTACCAAGAAGGAGAAAAAATGACTGCTACTGCTAAACCCAGGACAATACCACAGCAAACCTTGATTCTTTTTCTCAGCTATCAGTAGGCTTTTCTCTTTGAGGTCACTTCTTTTGATTCTCCTTCCCATCCCTCCAGGGGCAGGGGGAGGGCAAAAAGTGAGAGGGCGACTGTGTTATTTATGGCTGACTTTGTTTAAACCAAGACAGTTCTTTTTGGCGCCCAACGTGGGGCTCGAGGGGTTGAGATAACAACAGATCTCACAGGATTAATAGTCACTCGTCGCAGTGCCGATTTACTGGCTCTCAAAGTTCTTTCTCTTGATCTCACAGTTTCAGAATGTTGTAACTCACTTAGAGCAGGTATTTGCTGGGTAGTGTTTATCAAGTGTGGGGCTTGGGCTAAGGCTCTTGTCTCACTGTGCTTTATGGCAATGACTTGTAATACGGGCAGGCTCCAGCAGCAGGGTGGGACGGCCGTAGCCATGGACTTGTACCTGGCCGTCCGGCTGCTCTTCACCGTCTGGCCCTTGCCCTCGCCTCCATCTTCGTGAGGCCACGGAGGGTCGAGGGGGAGTGGCCCTGGGAGCCGCCGGCGGCCGAAGCGCCCCGGGAGAGCGGCCCCGGGGACCAAACGGCGGTGGGAGCGGGGCCGGAGGCCGGCAGGGAGCGGCTGCCGGTGGAGGAGGTCGGTGCAGTTGAGGAGCGGAAGGAGGCGGCTTCCGAGCAGAGGGAGAAGGCAGCGGAGGAGCCGAGCCCAGCCCCGCGACGTCCGAGAGCATTCCCGAGTTCTGTCCAGGGACAGATGACGAGCGAGTTGAGAGTCTGTGGGTGAGAATTAAGGGGCAGGCTGGCAGTGGGGGATACTGTTGTAGGTGTCTGTTACAGACCACCAGATCAGGGTGAGGAAGTTGACGAGGCCTTCTACAGGCAGCTGAGAGCGGCCTCACAGTCACAGGTCGTGGTCGTCGTGGGGGATTTTAACTTCCCTGATGTTTGCTGGAAGGACCACTCAGCAACCCAGCCACAGTCCAGGAGGTTCCTCCAGTGTATGGATGGTAAATTCCTCCTGCAAGTGGTGGATGAGCCGACCAGGAGAGGAGCACTGCTGGATCTCATCCTCGCTAACAAGGAGGATCTGGTTGAAGCAGTAAGGGTTGAGGGCTGCCTTGGTTGCAGCGACCACGAGATGGTGGAGTTCAGGATCTTGTGTGGTAGGACTAGTAGAATAACAAGTAGAATTGCAACCCTGGACTTCAGCAGGGCAAACTTTGGCCTTTTCAAGCAATTGCTAGGGGAAATCCCATGGGCAAGGCTGCTTGAAGGTAAAGGGGCCCAAGATAGTTGGTTGACATTCAAGGATTTCTTTTTCTGAGCTCAAGTTCGGAGCATCCCGACACGTAGGAAGTCAAGGAAGAGGGCCAAGAGAACTGCGTGGCTAAATAGGGAATTGCTGGGTATGCTCAAGTGGAAGAGGAGAGTTTACAGGTCCTGGAAGGAGGGGCTGGCCACCTCTGAGGAATATAAGGCTGCTCTAGAGGATGTAGGAAGGCAGCTAGGAGGACTAAGGCATCCTTAGAATTAAACCTGGCGAGAAGGGTCAAGGACAGCAAAAAGAGCTTTTTCAAATACATGGCAGACAAAACTAACACCAGAGGCAATGTAGGCCCACTGATGAACGGGATGGGTGCCCTGGTGACAGAAGATACAGAGATGGCAGAGTTACTGAATGCCTTCTTTGTCTCTGTCTACTCTGCTGCGGGCAGTCCTGAAGAGCCCTGTACCCCTGAGACCTTAGATGAAGTCAGGTCGACGGAGCGGTTTGCCTTAGTCGATGAGGAATGGGTTAGAGACCAGTTGAGCAATCTGGACATCCATAAATCCATGGGTCCAGATGGGATGCACCCGCGGGTGCTGAGGGAACTGGCGGAAGTCATTGCTAGACCACTCTCCATCATCTTTACCGAGCCTTGGGAAACAGGAGAGGTGCCTGAGGACTGGAGGAAAGCAAATGTCACTCCAGTCTTCAAAAAGGGCAAGAAGGAGGACCCGGGTAACTATAGACCGGTCAGCCTCACCTCCGTCCCTGGGAAAGTGATGGAACACCTCATCCTTGGTGCCATCTTAAGGCATATCAAGGATAAGAGGGTTATGAGGGGCAGTCAACATGGCTTCACCAAGGGGAAGTCATGCTTGACCAATCTCTTAGCCTTTTATGAGGAAATAACACGGTGGATTGATGATGGCAGAGCGGTGGATGTGGTCTACCTTGACTTCAGCAAAGCATTTGACACAGTCTCCCACAGCATCCTCACAGCTAAATTGAGGAAGTGTGGACTGGATGATCAGGTAGTGAGGTGGACTGCGAACTGGCTGAAGGAGAGAAGCCAGAGAGTTGTAGTCTATGGGGCTGAGTCTAGTTGGAGGCCTGTAACTAGTGGAGTGCCTCAAGGGTCAGTACTGGGACCGGTATTATTTAATATATTCATCAGCGATTTAGATGAGGGAATTGAGTGTACTATCAGCAAGTTTGCTGATGACACTAAGCTGGGAGGAGTGGCTGACACGCCAGAAGGCTGTGCTGCCATCCAGTGAGACCTGGACAGGCTGGAGAGTTGGGCAGGGAATAACTTGATGAACTATAAGAAGGGAAAGTGTAGAGTCCTGCATCTGGGCAGGAACAACCCCAGGTTCCAGTATAGGCTGGGGAGCGACCTGTTAGAGAGCAGTGTAGGGGAGAGGGACGTGGGGGTCCTAGTGGACGACAGGATGACCATGAGCCAATACTGTGCCCTTGTGGCCAAGAAGGCCAACGGCATCCTGGGGTGTATTAGAAGGGGGGTGGTTAGTAGGTCGAGAGAGGTCCTCCTTCCCCTCTACTCTGCCCTGGTGAGACCCCATCTGGAATATTGTGTCCAGTTCTGGGCCCCTCAGTTCAAGAAGGACAGGGAGCTGCTGGAGAGAGTCCAGCGCAGGGCAACGAAGATGATTAAGGGAGTGGAGCATCTCCCTTATGAGGAAAGACTGAGGGAGCTGGGTCTCTATAGTTTGGAGAAGAGGAGACTGAGGGGTGACCTTATAAGTGTCTATAAATATATAAAGGGGGAGTGTCACGAGGATGGAGCCAGGCTCTACTCAGTGGCAAACAATGATAGGACAAGGGGTAATGGGTACAAACTGGAACACAAGAGGTTCCACTTAAACTTGAGAAGAAACTTCTTCTCAGTGAGGGTGACGGAACACTGGAAGAGGCTGCCCAGGGAGGTTGTGGAGTCTCCTTCCCTGGAGACATTCAAAACCCGCCTGGACACATTCCTGTGTAACATTATCTAGGTGTTCCTGCTCCGTCAGGGGGATTGGACTAGATGATGTTTCGAGGTCCCTTCCAATCTCTAGCATACTGTGATACTTTCAGGTGGAATATAGAAATTATTCACCAAAATATTTTGCTGCTTGTGAAATGACAAATTTTCAAATCAACATTACAGATTTATTCTGTCTATAGAACAAACTGTCAGCTTAGTTATTAAACAGTAGCTTCTTTTGACTGTAGGAAATAACTAGTTTTTCTTCTGGGTTAATTTTTACCAGCTTTTTTCTCTATTGGTTCTGTATTTGGTTGCACAAACATTAGCTTTCTCATCTGGAGAAGCTGTATATGGCAGAGTGTGGTGCCACTAGGTGGTCTTGTTTAGATTTTTTTGGGAGTTGCAGTAAAATATGTGAAATGGTGTATCATAAAATAGATTTGTGATTTCTCCTAAACTAACAACTGGAGATCTTTAGTTTGGTTGAATGCTGTTTAGACCTTTGTTATTCTTTCTTTTATTGAACAAACTCTTAATCCCATCAGAATAAGAGTTGAATTGGCCACAACTAGAATATGTGTAATGAATTTCCATCTCTGGTGAAATGCTGGTGGTTAACAAAATTAGAAGGTTCTTTTACAACTTCTCTCACTTGTTTTTGTAATTCTAGGAAACTCTGCAAAGGATTGTCTCTACCCTAGCAAACAAGAATGATGAAATTCACAACTTTATTGACATCTTGAACTACACAATAAAGAATGTTCAGGTATGTGTGTATGTATATGTATAAATATATATTAAGGCTCATAAGTTGTAGTTGAGAGGGGAGCAGCTTTCCAGTTTTATCAGTTTCAAACTGTTTCGGTAGTGTGTAAGGCTATAACAATCAAGTTTAAAATATATATATTCATGTTGGAACCAAATAAAAAAATTTTACTTTTTAAGTCTGTCTGTAGTAGAAAGGAATGATGGTTTCACTTTTCTTGTGAAAAGCAATTATAAGATTTTATTTGTGTGGAAGAGAATATGGATTTTGATGCAAAATTTTCAGATCCTGTTATTTGGAAATAGTCTATATCTTTAAATTTCTGGTCTGCTGTGAAGACTGAAAATTGAGACCATGTACATGATACTTGTGAGAAAAAACTATGTTATTTCTCTTCGCAGTAGCTGTAAATTTTGGGCTTAAGTTAGACCTAATTTTTAGAGCATTTACACTAGGATGAGACTTTGCTTCCTTTAGCCTATCAATAAACTGTAATTTTGTTTTGTGTTTAAAGCTGGGCCAAGTTAACAGCAGAAATAGAAATCATCCAGCCAGGTCTTCAGGATGGCTTCTAGACTGCAGTTTTTAGAATTAAATGAAAACATTTTCTGTGGAACTATATGACTACCTCCTTAAAAACATCTAGCAATCTCTATATATGTATATGAGAGAGGGAAGTCAAGGTCTTTTGGCATGGAACAAAGTTGCCAAGTATGTGGATTCTGTGCAAGTTTGAGTGTTGTGGAATTTGCATGGATTTCAGTCTTCGGTGTCCTGATGTAAAGTCTGATTAGTAGGTGTCCATCATTCCTGATGTTTTTTACCTCTTGATAAGGTAGGGAGCAGTGACAAAGTATCCAGTAGCTGTGGCAAAGCATGTTTAGGCAAACAATGTGAGTTACAGTCTTAAAAGCCTGGCCTCCACTGTTGCCAATACAAATTGAGTCAGTTTCAATTCTCTTCTCAGGTGAACTCTTCTAGTGCAATCAGTGAGTTGGATGAAGAATTTGATCGTCTGTATTCTGTATTGTATGAGATGAGCGGGACTATGGCCAACACTATTCGGCAAGAGGCCGCCCATAAAATTCAGGCTCTACAGGTAACTGTGTAACTGTATCTGCAAATTGTTGCAGCTGAATGGAAGCAGTTTTGAAGTGCTATTTTAAACTTCATCTGAAAGTGGTATTTTGGTAGTGTTGCAAGAAATGCAGGAAGTGCAGTGTAAATATTTTCTTTGATGCAAGTGTTTCTCTGGTCCCTTCTTCTAGGGTACTTAATGGTGTCTAGTGTCTTTATGTGCTCCAGATCACCATGTAGAAAGGAAGTGATATTACTTGTAGAGCTTACAGGTGGAGAGTGGCTGCATAGGCGCAGGATTTCGATCTGCGTTTACTACTTTCAGATTAATGAATACATTCTGGGCTGAAGTTGGTGTCTTTCTCCAGTTTGGAATACTAGCATCTGAACCTGTATACACACCAGAGTGATTTACTCAGGCTTGAACTTGGAGAATCACATCAGATATCTTAAGCACAAAGTCTCTTCTCCTGTTGACAGAACTGGCCACTCCACTAGTTAGCATGAAGGAAATCGTTCGTGCACAGTGAAAGAAATATTGGAATTGCTTGGGAACAGGTTATACTGGTGTCTGCTACTAAACCTGCTGTGTGAGTTTTGGCAGCTTGTAGTTTTATAATTTCATATAGAAGAATCTTTGTGATGGGTTTCAGAGAGGAAAAATGTTAACTTTCTGAAACATGCATAAAGTCTGTTTGGTTTTGTTGTTTTGTTTTTTTTTTTCCCAGTAGCCTGTAGCAGGTTGGCTTTAGCTTTCACAAAGTCTGGTTGCCTGGGGCCAAAGCACAGTTAAAACTTCTAAGCAGAAGTTGTTTCTCCAGCTTTTTTCTTGAAATGATTCTAGTTGTAGCATTCTGCTGTCTAGCTATTTCCTTATGTAGATGAATTAGGAAGATACTTGTTCCTGACAAACTTCACCTTCTCATGTCTAGTCAGTTTAAAGAAGTTCTAGGAGCAGTTTCCTGAAACAAATTCCACAGGCTTCTTTATATAAGGTCTGTTTATGTCCATACTTAAAGACTGAGTATAAAACATTCCAGAACTTCTCAGTGCACAATTGAAGTTAGGTACCTAAGTGTACTTTTTAACCTTTAATTTCATCTCCCAATATGTCTGTTCTAAGTCCTTCTGAAGTGTCTCAACAGATGGAAGTCTGGCAATATCCAGACATGCTTATGACTTAAATGCTTAAAGAATGAACAATGAACAGCTTGCAGATTAAATTCAGCTGTGGCATGTATCAATTTTTCTGCCTTATAGTGAAGAAAACCTAACATTAATCTTGCAAGCAATTATTCTGGAACTGAAAACTTATAGTTACTCATCTGACACCTTAACTTGACCACTGAAATTTTCTGCTAGTATCTGTTAGTTTTCTGTGAATATCTGAAATTTAATCTAATTTGATCAAGCTCAGGTGTGTTTGAGCCAAATTATTCTGAAAGCTTGTGGGTGTGGTACAGTTGTATCAAGTATCTGTGTTGAACAGCTGAAATGCTGCTTAGTCAGAAGAGGATGAAAAGAAGTGGAATGTTACAAATCACTGACACAGTTAAGTGTCTTACTTGTTCTTCAGCTGAGGCTGTTCTCTAGTCGGGGGCCCAGAAGACATTCGCTTTGCTCTGTAACAGACCAAGCTTCCTCTAAGGGACTGCAAGAGTGCTTTTTGCAACAGTCAATCTGCCAAACCAAACTAACACATGAAAACTATTGCATTGAATGTATTAATTCAAGCCATTATCTTTGTCTGGAACTGAAAATTAACTTTGTATGAAGAAACCAAGGAACTTCAGTGAGATAAAACATCCTGCTTAAAGGAATGGACTTGCTTAGTTTATTGTACTTGTGTCCTTAGTTAACTGTGCTTGTGCTGTAGTTAATCTTCTGTAGTTGACAAGATGCTGTTGTGAAAAATAAGCTGTAACTTAAAATACTGGGGCTACATATGGTGGAAAAGGGTGAGGGTTTAATATTTAGCCTGATCCCTCAAAAATAATTCCTTGGATTGGCTGAAAACTGGAAGTTTTCCTTAAACCCTTGCTTTGAAAATATTGTTATATTTGGGGGCAGTGTATTTTAATAACAAAGTATTTAATTTAACGGAAATGCAAGTGCATCTCAGGAAGATGCTGATGGAAGCATCCAGTTACCATGTCAGTCCTGCAAATCTGTTTGAAAATGCCTTTGGCATTTGCTTCTCTGCTTTGAGGTGTTTGCTTGGGACGTTTTGGGAGTATCATGGTGTATCTGAGTTCGTCAACATGTGATATCTCTCAAAGAGGAGAGCAGCTGTAGTAGATGAATTACAACTTGCATTAATGGCATGCTTCAGAAGTTATCTGGAAACTGTTTACGAACTTCTGCCTGTTGGACTGTTTCCTTGCTCCTATTTTGTCTCTGAACAGTAAATCTGAGGGGCAACTGGCCCAGGTCAACTCAGCACAATTGCCAAAGCTGGTTGTGCTTCTGAAGTGCACAGACAGGTCTGTTCTTGAAGTTGATGCAACTGTTGGTTGCTTTTGAGGCAGTGATGACCTTAGAACAAGCTGTCTTTCCTGAAGTGTGTTAAAGAAAAAGTTACTTGCTATTGACTTGTTCTAAGATACTATAGCCAAGTATAATATGAGTATAAAACCAGCTGTAGGGTGAATGCTGATGCAAAAGCTGCTGCCAGGCTTAAAGTGTGCATCATTAAACCTATGGTATGTTTAGGATCCTGCAGTGTATTCAAAACTAATCTTTACATGATATGTAATACTTGAAGTTCTCTGTGCACTGTTTTATGTACTGGGGTTGGTAGTTTACTAAGAATAGAGTTTCAGCTGATCATGAAAAATTTCTCCTCTGTCCTTCTTTGTCTCTTCCTTTTCATCTACTATCCCCATTTGTTATACAGCAGTATTGATTTTTCAGGATTGTTTTTGTGATAGTTGTAGAGCTTGTTGGGGATACAATCATTGTCTTTTTCAAGACTATTGTTACATTAAACACTCTCAGTTCATTGATGAAGTACAGTTTTGGAAATAAAAATTGTGCACATAAATGCACATTTCTTTGCTTCTGGAATCCTGATAGTGTGAGAAAAAGGCCTTAAAAAGAAATCTGATTTTTAAATCAGACTTCAGCACCTATCCAACTTTTTCCCCTTTGGATTTATAAGATGTGCCATATATTACTGTGCACTTGTCAAGCACAGTGAAGTCCTAGTTAACATGATGTGTCAGAGGTAATAGCCTTGATCAGATAAGGTGTTAAGTTGTTACAAACAAACAGCAAAGCCATGTTGTTCTAATACTGGTAGTTTATAAACCAGTTTTTTAACGTGAATTCGTCTAATTACTCTTACTTTCTTTTTTTGCTTCAGGATCAGCTTAGCCAATGTCGTAATGCCCTAGAGAGTTCTGAAGAGCTGCTGGAACTTGCAACTCAGTCACTGGACATAAAGGACCCTATGGAGTTCTTAAAGGTAGGAAACATTGAACAAATGTGTGTAAGGCAGATGTTGGTATTTGTCTGGTTGAAATACCCTTACATTACTGTACTGTGAACTTACCAGGAATGTGGAGAATATGGATAAAGCATATGAAATGCTCTGTTGAGGAGGCAGAGTCAGGCATGATAGTCTTGAAGTTTTATGCAATCTGTAATGAAAGAAAGTTTTTTCTCTTAGAGTGATGGGGGAGGGGAAAGTAATGACTTCTCATGCGCAACAGTCAGTGTTAAGCAAACTTGCACTGATGCTAGGTAAGTGAACCCAGAAAGTGAGGGTAAAATATGTCTCTAAAACTGAACCAAGACTTACAAAGTGTGTGAAGGCCTGAACTCAAAGCTGTGGCAAGCAACCCATCGGTTGTCAAGTCCTGTTAGATGACACTTGCAGAGAGTCAGTTGCTTTGCAGCTCTGCAGGGGGCTAACAACAAGACAGCTCTCCACAACAAAAGAAAAGCCAGTTGCCCTGCCACTAAAGAAGTTACTGGTGCTTCTAAGGAAAGGTGGCAGGTTAACAGATGGTTAAAGGGGTGGTGCATAGTCAGGGGTTTGGTTACTTAGACCGTGGGACTTGCTTTGGGAAGCCAGGTCTACTGAGGGCTGATGGGGTCTACCTGACAAGGAAGAGAAGAGCATCTTTGGTAGGACAATTGCCAGGCTGATGAAGGCAGCTTTAAATCAGATTTGTTGGGGGAGGGGGATCTGATCCATCACAAAACTCCAAGTCATGTGCCAGCACCTGCAGTGAATGCTTGCAGCAATGCAGGGCTAATCCAGCCATTCCAGCCAATGAGTCGGCTTTATTTAGAGCTCAGCTAAGATGCCTCTATACAAATGCCCATAGTATGGGGCATAAATGAGGAATTAGAGGTGTGTGCATGTCTATAAGGATATATCATTTGCATGAGGGGTACATGGTGGCACGGCTCCTATGACTGGAGTGTTGGAATGGAAAGTTACAGGCTTCTTAGACAAGAGAGGTCTGGGGGTATAACCATTCATGTCAATGAGTAGAGTGTATGGAGCTCTGCCTGAGAATGGATTAATGAACTAACTGAAAGCTTATGGGCCAAGATTAATGGGAGGGCAGTGACTGGGGATGTCACTGTGGAGGATAAAGGGGCTGGAACACCTCACGTGTGAAGACAGTCTGAGATATTTGGGGCTGTTTATCCTGGAAAAGAGAAGGCTGTGTGGAGACCTCATAGCAGCTTCCAGTATCTGAACGGGGCCTACAAGGATGCTGGAGAGGGACTCTTCATTAGGGACTGTAGTGATAGGATGAGGGGCAATGGATTTAAACTGAAACAGGGGTAGTTCAGTTTAGGTATACGGAAGAAGCTTTTTACTGTGAGGGTGGTGAGGCACTGAAACAGGCTGCCAAGGAAGTTGTGAATGTTCCGTCCCTGGCAGTGTTCAAGGCCAGCTTGGACCTAGCCTTGGCAACATGGTCTAGTGGATATCCCTGCCCATGGCACGGGGTTGGATATAGATGATCTTAAGGTCCTTTTCAGCCTAAAGCTTTCTATGATTCTAGCTGTAACCATCTGTGGATGACAAGCTGCTTGTTTTGCAGAACCTTATGCAACCTGTGGGTCTTTAATTTGCAAGCCTGAGCTCTATGGCTGTACTGAAAGGTCCTGTGAAATTGAATGCAGGGCAAGTCTTCCTCTATTTCTCAACCTTCTAATGCATTTATATACTGTATAAGTGAGAGCCTGATTTGGGCCTCATGTTGCGATTCTGATACACGTGTACTTTACAACAGACTGTAAACAAGGCAGTTTATCTAACTGGAAGAATATATTTACAAATTAGTGAAACAGTTCTACAAATGAACTGAGTCAGTAGCCTAGGCTTGCTAGCATAATCTTTTCATTAGTAGTGGGGCCAAATCCAAGACCCAATTACTTCTGTATTTCTGAATTTTAACTGGAACAAGGACATAAATCAATCTAAAAAAGTTGGCAGGAAAGCTGTCTCAATGTCAGTTATACCTTTTGGCAACACGTTTGTGTGGTGTCCTGAGTGTCATGTTTGATTTATGTGCCTTGAAGAGTGACAATTCTGAAATTGAGTATTTTTTCTTAGGACTTCAGTTTGAGTTGTCCTTTCTGTCTTGTCATTCTGATGTGTAAAACTTAAGTTAGCTCTTGAGCACTAGGCAGAATGTAGCTTTGAATTTATTGCAAGTTGTTTCATTTCAGGTGTATCTAATACATCTTTTTTTTGAAGTCGTATACATTTAGGAAAATTATTGTTTGCTGGGAGTTTCAAATTTGGTGTCTTGTATTTAGGATACTGAAATCCGATTTGTTTAAGATTTGAAACTTGTCTTATACTAGTCGCATTTGTAAATATGCGTTTGGATATGGTGTTTTAAGGTAATATTGCCTTAGCTATTAGATAGCTAAATCTGTTTTTCTGCTAATAGGAATACCAAGTGTTCCTGAAACACAGGGCAGCTTCAGACCTGAGAATTTTTTTGTTGGCAGAAATTTTCTTTGGATCCTCCAGTAAATCAGTTTCATGAGAAACTAGCATAAGACTGAACTAAGATTACTTTAAATTTCTTTTTTCTGTGTTAGGTTTCTGGTGGCTTTATTGGCTGAATTGACTTACCTGAAAGTCAAAAGAGTACAAATGCCAGCACATAGAAGGATTTGGTGATTAGACATGATGTGATTTGACACTGCTGGGCAGGTCATCTGAGGTGGGCTGAAACCCATAATTGTCTGCAGCCTGGAAACAAACTAAATTCAAAGGAGTTAAGCCAGGCCTGTCTTACAGTAAACTGTTGAGTCCTGGCTACCACACATTCCACAAGGCACAGAGGTTATGAAGAAGGTCTTTGTTTTAAAATAGCTTTGGAGAGTTAGTCAGCAGTTCTTACAATAACATTGGTTTGAGGCAAAACAAAGCTAGCTCTTAAGCTAAATTATTTCTAAACACATGGTTTTTTTTCTGCTTCTGACTTTGGGAATATGAAGTTGGTTTTGTGGTAGGGACGTATGGACAATTTTAATTTTTACTTTTTTGAGTGTGTGTCATATTTAGTGAAATAATTGAAATTCCTCCACTTTTGTTTGACTTTAAGTTGGAAAACTACCTGATGTTTGTCTCCCCTTTGAAAGGGAGTGGTTCAGGTGCACAGCAGTTAGATCAAGTAGCAGTGTCAACTCCTGGCATGGATTCAATGGACATAACTAAGCCATCACTACTTCAACAGTAACATTTTATCTTGGGTTTGCTGTTCCTCTTGGTGAAGGATAGGGATTTTGTCCTTCCTAAAGACAGTTAATGTTTGAAATATGCCATCACCACTTCTGCATCTCCTTCAGCGGTAGCATTTAAATGCTAGGAAAACTAGGCTCTGTAGTTTTGAGTGGTGGCATAAGGAGAGAGCCTTTTATGAAGTATTTCTTAAATAATACAACATGTTCAGAAGAAAAGTGAAAACAACCCCTAATTTTTTTTTTTTTTGAGTTTGTCAGAGTATACATTCTGTGATGTATACACAAACAACTCAGGCATGTTTACATGTGTTGGAGAGCAATTTAGCTGATTAAGAGAAATCCGAAGAGATAATCACACCCAGAAAGTTGAGTCATTTGAAATTAGTTTGGTGTGGTTCTTGATACCATTTTTTTTTCCTTTGTGATTAATTGTTGCAGTTTTCACAAATACTATTTATGTGCTTAATGGGAAAATTTATCTTAATGAAAATGTTAAACTCATTTTGATCTTCAGATCTGAGCAGTACATCTGAGATTGTTCTCACCCTTCTTGCATCTTACCACCATTGATAAATGCATGGAAATACTAACTACTTTCTCTCTCTTCTCCCTGACATGCATCAAGGCTGGCAGAGAGATCAAAGATAGGTACAGTACAAAGTCTGTCGCTTTTATCTTTGTATTAATCTTTTCCTTGAAAACACATTTATTTTGAAAGGGTCATAGTCAGCTTAAATCAAGTTCATTGACTCTTTCTGAAGTGTTTGTTGTGATGTCACAACTTTCAGAGAGCACTAAAAACTCCTATGCTTCTCATGTAGTGTTTTTCTTTGCTGTTGGCCTTAGTAAAGAAAAAGATGTTTTTAATGCAGGGAACTAGAGCTCCACAGTAGCCATTATTATTATGTTACTATTATCATTATCATAATCTTTATATATTATTAATAATAAACTTCCGATTTGTTATTGATACTTGATGGCTGAAATTTAATAGTTTTTCAAGCTGACTCTGTCCCTTTAAATTATGAGAATCTTGTTGCTGTTTGGTTTTTATTTACAGGCTTTTCTAGCTAATAACTCTTTGAATATAAGAAGTACTGTAGCTGCTTGAAGTATTTTGGGTGAAGTCACTGCCTATTGTCAGGGAAATTGCTATTTCTACTAGTTTTTTCTTTGAACTGTGTTTTCCAACTGTTGTTTAGAAAGCAAAACTAATGTTTTGAAAAAAAAAGAAAAGCTAAGTTCATTTTTTTCTTCATTTGGAAGAATGATAATGACCTTGTGAGAGTCTTAAACGGAAGTTAAAAAGCTGCGTGCAGTTGACTATTTAATGTTTTCTTACTGCTAATCAGAGGATTATGCTTTCTTAAGGTGATATTTACCTCTCTGGCCAAGTAGTGAAATCTACTAGGCACCCCATACTGAATTTCAGAGCATCAATTATGTCTTGGGAAATCAGTTGACCTGTTTTTCTTAAGATGTTTGGTTTAGTGTCATAACTATCTTATATTCCAAAATTGTAATGCTTGTCACTTGACGTCCTTATGTCTTTGATGCTCAGCTTCATGTTTTCTTCCCCTTTTTCACTACCTGAATTTCCTAGTTTTCTCCTTACTTAATGCACCTGGAGTTAGCGCACAATCTCTCTGACAATCAGTGGTATTCAGATTCTTCTGCGTGGCTTGGTATCTTCATTGTTACAGAGCTATACAAGAGATTTGTCCTTTTTTTTTTTTTTTTTTTGTGGTGTCATTGATGGAGTATAGGGGTGTCTTAGCAGTGTTCAGAATATGAGCAAAGATTTGGGAAATGGAAATGGAAGATGTGGTTTAGTGTTTTCTTATAAGACTGATCAGATACTTGTATGTTCCAGAGCAATATGCTGTCTGCAACTTAAGTGTTTCTTCATCCTCTGGTAAGATCAGAGGTAGATATGAAATCAGAATACTCAGCTTGTTCACTGCTACTTACAAATGCCTTCTGAGCAATATTTAATATGTGGAAAATGCACTTTGGAGATAATGAGTGGATCTTATTGACCAGAAAAGTCTTTTGGCCTTTTTAAACTAAAAGTTAAAGTTTCAGGTTTCTAAGTGCATAAAAAAGGTCATGATTCTGCAGTGCTTTAGATTATTTCATGCTTCTTAATTTTGTCTAAAGTTGTGTGAATTTTGATTTTTTTCCAATTTTTTCACTAGTAAAAGAAGTTAGTTGCTTCTGTCATTTTCTTATATAGTAATATGGAAGAACTGGGAGCAGCTTGTACCATATTCTGAGAATTGCATTAGGAAGACTTTCTGTTTTGGACTCTGGGCTAAGTGGTAAACAGTTATTTAGCAAAACGGTCTGGTTGCTGACCAGTGTTTTGGCTCACAGTTTGACATTAACAGTACAGATTATCTGACTGCTGTCTGTTTTTGAAAATGGCTGTAGGACTTAATGCAAATCCATTTTGCTAATGCTGCTTTCTTGACTTTAGAGTCACTGTGGCTTCAGCGTTCCGCCTGTCTCTGAAACCAGAGGTCAGTGATAGTATGACTCACTTGATGGTGGACTTCTCTATGGAAAGGCACATGCTCCAGGCTATGAAATTTTTGCCAGGTAAAAACTGTATGCAGTCAGTTTGATTTTTTTTTTTTTTTTTTTTTTATTTTACTGCGGGAATAACTTACCATATTTAAACAAAAGAAAAACACACCTTTTGCATCCTAATAAGTAAATTTTTCAGAGTACCTAAACTCATTCTTAGTTATTGGATATTGAGCTGAATACCTTGAAAGTAAGAGTTTTCTAGTTTTTTATTTATTTTTCTACATAACTTCAGAATATAACTGATCTCAGAAGTGAGGATGAGTCTTCCAGACTGTTTTTCTTTGAGTTACCAGTTGCTCTATATTTCCTGAAGTTCTTAAGTTTCTCAGGACTGTACCTGCTAGCTTGATGGTGACACTCCAAAGTCCTAGTCATCTGCAGTAGTGTTATTCATGGAACTGTAAGCTAATACGTCCCTTAAAGAGTAGTTATACGGTCTGAAATGCAGTACAGGGACAATCTTCTAGGCCAGTGATACTACAATAATACAAAATGTGTATTGATGCATCTATTTATTACTGTTTGAAAGTAAACTTAGGTGCAGTATACCACTATATATCTTTCATGTATTTTTATTCATATTGCTTTCCTATTTAAACCACTGTGCCCTTGACTGTTACCAAGAATATATTGGCAAGAATACTGTTGGCAGGGATATAAATTGTTTCATCTATAGGTCACTAATCCAAATCTGTTAAGGACTTGGCAGCTTCAGTTTACATTTCTGCACACTTGTATGCTGCAGATACAGTATGTGATAGCAGGTGTAGTAGATGACCAGCATTATTCCTAGTGGTCAGCTAGTAGTCTCTAGGCAGAAATTCACCTTTTAGTCCCAGAGCAATGATTGCCACCCAGAGTCTGTATTTCATAGATAAGAGAACAAGGTAGGTAAGCTGATCCCAGTGCGCCTTTTAACAGGAATGGGAGTGTACAGATTTAACAGCAAACATGAACAAAGTCTTGTGTATAGGCGAAGATGATATTTAGTATGACCCTCTTACAAATGCATTTTCCTTATCAAATATGTAGGAATTTATATTGTTTGGGCCTTTGATTTGTAAACAGGAAAATAAACTTGCTGGTTATCAGTCTTGCTTTCTTCTGCTGTAGTGCCAAGCTATCAAATTACTCTGACACTAAATACCAACAGCTCACTGTTGCAGGCAAAATGGCACTAAGCACTGGTAGACCTTTAAAAATCAGGAAATACTAATCTGCTAGTTTGGGAAGTTGGAAACAGGTTTGGTGGTGTGGTAATGCAGGTATTTGAACACTGCTTGCCAGAATTACACTGAAGACTTTGTTATGTCAAACACATGGAAGGCTCTTTATCTGGTATCTTATACCGTAACAAAAATAGTTGGGGTATTTGATTAAATTTTCAGGTATATGTTTTGAAATACTTCTCATCTTAATTTTGATTTTGGCTGAGAAGGGATCTTAGTAATATTCTCAAATTATTTTTGGATGACTTTGAAATTTGATGGTAAAAGCATGTGATTATCATTTGAGAATTTGGTATGGTTTAGTCCTGTCAGACAGCTAAGCAATGCATACAGCTGCTTGCTTGCTCATGCCCCCCCGCCATGGCTTGGGGGGAATAGAATAAGAAGGGGAAGAGAATAAGAAGGGTAAAAGTGAGAACTTGTGGGTTGAGATTTACCACTTGCCATTGGCAGGCAGGTGTTCAGCCGTCTCTAGAAAAGCAGGGCTCCACTGTGTGTAACAGTTACTTGGGAAGACAAAATGCCATAACTCTTCTTGTTCCCCCAGCTTTATATGCTGAGCATGATGTCATATGGTATGGAACATCCCTTTAGTTATTTGGGGCCAGTATCTGTGCATTCGCAGCCTACTGGCTGGTGGACAGTGTGAGAAGCAGAAAAGGCCTTGATGCTGCTCAGCAATAACTAAAATACCTGTGTTATCAAAACTATACACACACACACACAAAAAAAAAGGCATGGCACCGTACAATCTCTATGAAGAAATGTAACTTTGTCCCAGCAAAAACCAGTACAGATTTGAATATGTCTGCTTTCAGTGTCTTCTGTGCTGCTTCTTTGTCCCAAAGCTTTTTAAATGTATACACCCAGTTTCAGTGTAATCCCTGCTTGGCTTAAACCACAAGGATGTGAGGGATGAAAAGGTGCATTTTGGTAGTTCTATGTTAAAATATGTGAACAGATCATGAAGGGAAGTTTTGGAGAGGTATGAAATGGTATGCGTAAAACAAAGTATATTTCCTGCTTCAGGTGGACCTGCTGTAGCTAGAAGGTGTTGATATCTGGGTGATAAAATTACACATCTCTACAAGACTCAACCATAATTAGTGTGATGCTAATTGTCATCAGTCATTGTGAAGGGGAATCAAGGCTGACAATCTGTTAAAGAAATAGTTGGTTCACCTGCATAAAGGCAGTTGTAATTAGGACTTGGTCACTGGGACATAACTGCAGAAGAACACAGTAAGCTTACTTCTTGCTATTCTTATTGTGTAGCATTATTCTGAATGTGTGTCCACTCTAGCAGCTCCTTCCTACTGCTTACAGAAGGGCATCAAGCCCAACTTACTGACAAAACATCTGGAAAATGTGATGCAAATGTTCAGTATAGAGCTAATGCAAATTTGTTCTGTAAACTGCATGTTAAGTGCAAATTATATACTTTGTCTTCTATGATGCTTTGCTAATGGAATAAATCATCTAAAAGAAATGTGTGTTACTGGGCCAAGGGCAACTTGTGAACTCTATAAATCCAAGGAGAAAAAATGAATATTCAGTCCATTTTCTTCTTTAAACCTATCTGTATATTTGTCTTTCTGCAGTCCCTAGAGCTCCAGAGATAGATACAGCAGCCTGTGTGGTTGCTGATAATTGCATAACAGTATCATGGAGAATGCCTGAAGAAGACAGCAGAATTGATCATTTTGTACTGGAGTATAGGAAAACCAACTTTGGAGGCCTTCCTCGAGTAAAAGATGAACAGCACTGGGAAGTGATTGACAATATTAAAGCTACTGAATATACAATATCAGGTAAAGGTTTGTTTTATATTTAAAAAAATCAGGAATGTTGATACAATACTTAATGCTTGGAAGTTTTGCAGAATATCCATTTTCCTGTATGTAAGGAAGCTTTCATTGTTTCACATTACTCTTAGGTGTTTTGTGTAATAATAGCTCTTCCTCTTATTTTTGGTATTGAGATCTCGTGAAAAAAAAAAGTTGTAGTTTGATATAAATGGAAGACAGCTACATGGAATAGATCTTAGTCTTGTAAAAGTTGTCAGTAATTAGTATCAATTCAAGTCTCTGAACATTCACTTTTTAGGTCTGAAATTTGATAAGAAATATGTGAATGCTCGAGTAAAAGCTTGCAACAAAGCCGTGGCAGGGGAATACTCTGATCCTGTGACTCTGGAAACCAAAGGTAAAATTTGAGAAACTCTAACCTTAGATGTAGTGAAACTGTAGACTTACTGTTTTGTCTTCATATATAAACTTGTATGCTAGACCTGTTTCTGCATGAGCGCTGCTGAAACGTGTCCCAAGTGAAAAGGAAAATAAAGCTGGCCTTTTAGTGTTCAAACACTAAAAATGAGATAGTGATGTAACTTCCCTAACAGAGCTTGGTATTGGTAGTTTTGAACTGTGGATTGACTGTGTGCTGCCACATCATGATATAGCAAAAGAAGAGGAACTTTGTGGCTGAACATCAGTAGGACTCTTGGGGCATCTAAACGGTTGGTATAGTTAAACTTAAGGTGTGATGGGTAATAGCTTCCTGTAAATAGAAAGGGCTGAAAAGCATTTTTTTTTAGCTACTTTGTAGCTATAGATTCTAATCACTGCCAATATTAAAAAAATCAGGCAGTTCCAAATTGCTCAAGTTATTAAGTCATTTTGTTAGAAATCAGTTGGTCTGAGGGCAGTGGCTTCCTAACATAGTTTTGTAAATAAACTAAATGAAAAATATCTTGGAAGTGATATTTTGGCAGAACACATCTTAACTATTATGATGGAGATAAAGATCTTGATGCCTTAATTTATAGCCAAAGCTATAGTGTGAAGGGAAAATGGATGATATAAAATACCTAAAGTGTAAGTTGAGTGTGAAGGTTGCTTCATGAAAACAAAGCTGTATGCAGTTTGAATGAACTGGTGGGCATTTTGGTAACTTTTCTAAAATGCTTTTAATACTCTGAAGCAACAGTAATTGTCAGATTTATAGTATCCTTTTAATAGCCATTTGTATTCCTTACTCCAGTACCAGAAAAATAATCCTGATTTTAATTGTTTGGGCAGTTATGCTTTCCATATTTTCATTGTTTCTGTTAGAGCATTTAGTTCACCTTCTTTAATAATCAGCCTATAGGAATTCAGTATCCTTGTCTATGAGTTTACCTTATTGTTTTTCAGACCTGGGTACTGTTAAGCTCTAAACTCTTAAAAATCTCAAGTATGCTTTCTTTCAGAATCAGAGTATAATATCTCATGATATTAGGACACTTGCAGAATAGTTTGTAAATAAATATCTTTAGGGAGCTTGGCATGTTGTATTAGTTTCATATTACTGGATGAAGGACTTGGCTGCAATGAATACAAAGTGTCTTCTAGCTGCATGCATCCTGTGCTGTCTTGTGTCTGCACCTGACTTCACAGTTCAGTTCTCTCTGTATGTGCTACACTGTCAGTTCAGTATTCTCCAAGTTTGCAGTTCTTATTAATCATAAACACCTTTTTAGAGTTAGTACTGCAGGGTATGGAAAATAAGCATACCAGTTTAAATCATTCATGATTGCAAGAATGTAGGGAGTAAGCTGTAACTAGTAGAAAGCACTAGCTGAATTTAATTGCTGATATTGCAGCATTATAAAAATGAAGAAAACCTTACTTTGATTTAACCTGTGTACTGAAGGTAGGTAGTTGGGCTTTATTTAAAGAGCTCCTTACTTTTATTACAAGTACCAGATTAAAAAGCTAATGTTTCTATGAAGTTGAACAGTACTCTGCTACAGCTTTACTAGTGCTTTTGGCATTTTCTATGAATAGCCACTGGTTGGGAGAGAGCATTATACCATTTCACTGTCTTACATTTTCTCTTAATCAGCATTTGTGTTCAGTTTGGACAGTACTTCATCTCATCTAAACTTGAAAGTTGAAGACACCTATGTTGAATGGGACCCTACTGGAGGTAAAGGCCAATTAAAAATAAAAGGGAAGGAAAATAAAAGCAGGTAAGAACTGTTTTGTAAATGTTTACATTGTCTGGGATGTAACATCTGGCAGTTAAAGCAAGTGGACAGGAGGAATAAAATCACTTGAGGACATTGGGAAACCAAAGGAATTTTCGTTCAAAAATCTTTATCTGGAAGAAATTTTTATTTCCCTTTTTTTGTCAGAGAGATGCAGAGGCTGTTTATGGAAGCTATTAGAAATGTGCCTTAATCATGCAGTCTATTTTAAAAAGAACTAAATTCTATTTGTAGTGGGTTGACCTTGGCTAATCACCAGGTGCCCACCAAGCTGTCTCTCCTCAACTAGACAGTGGGAGAGAAAACACAGTGAATGGTCTGTGGGTTAAGGACAGAGAGATAACTCTGCCATTACTGTAGTGGGCAAAACAGACTTGAGTTGGGGAAATCTTAAATTATTGCATATCAAAAATCAGAGTAGGATAGTAAGAAATAAGAACAAATCTTAAAATACCTTCTCCCTATCCTTCTCTTCTTCCCAGGCTCCACTTCACTCCCAACTTTTCTACCTCCTCCCCAGAAGCAGTGCAGGGGAATTAGGTGTAGGGGTTTCAGTGAGCTCATCACACATTCTCTGCTGCATCTTCCTACTCGCACTCTTCCCCTGCTCCAGCATGGAGTCCCATTCAAGGGAGACAGTCCTTCACAAACTGCTCCAGCATTGGGCCCTTTCCGTGTGGTGGAGTCTTAAAAAACAGACTGCTCATGTGTAGGTTCCCTGTGGGGCCACAAGTCATGCTAACAAGCCTTTTCCAGTGTGGGCTCTGTCCATGGGCTGCAGCTTTCTTTAGGGCACATCTGTCTGCTCTGGCATGGGGTTGTCCATGGGCTGGCTATAGCAGGGTGGCTATATTCTCACTTCTCTGTCCCAGCTGCTCTTGCACAGCAGTTTTTACCCTTCCCTAAATGTTATCACTGGCCCTCTAGTCCAGGCCACCTTCATGGAAGGGAATGAATATCCTGATAACCTGGTTGTAATTTCCTGTGGTACAATGATTACCAGGCGCCCCACAGCTATCAGTGTGCACGCCTCTCAGAAAAGCCTGGCTTGATCTTCATTGTACCTTCCTGTTATATTCTTAAAGACAGCAATTAGCTTTCTTCTTTCTGATCCTGAGCAAAGTCAGTTGTCTTCCTGTTCTCCTGTCCCTTAATTGCATTGCTGGCCCTCCACTGGACTTGCTCTAGTAAGTTAGTATATGATCCTGAGGAGCCTAGACCTGAACACAGGACTTCAGGCTTAGTAAATGGGCAGGCTCATTGCCAGATGGAGAAGAACAGTCGCTTGCTTTGGCCTCATGGTTGCTGTCTTGTTGGTAGCCCAGAATGTCACTCATCACCTCTGCCACAAGGGCACAGTGCAGTATGTTGTCAGTTCCTGTTGTCCACCAAGACTCCCAGCTGCCTTTCTGCAGAATTGTTCTTCCCTCAGTTGTCTCCCAGCCTGTTCTGTGCATGGGGTTCTGTCATTTGGAGAATACTCTCCACAGCTGTGAGCCTGCTGTTCAGCTGGTTCTGTACACAGCTTATGGCCCACTACCCAGTCTGTATCTCAACTCCTGAGGTTTGGGGATGCTGTGTTGGAATGGATCAAAAGCCTTGCCAAAGTCAAGGTGTGAACAGTGTCCCTTCCTCTTGCCTTGTTCACTGAACTGGCTACTTTCTCAAAGACAGTTAATTGACTTTCAACATGCACTCTGGGGTATAGAGTGCTGCTTGAGTTAATTTATGAACAAATACCTTCCCTATAGGCAAATGTTGCCAGAAGCATGGTAGAGTAAGTTTTAGTGGCATCTTAAAAATGGCGTAATTTAGTGTGGTAATAGGGCAGTTGTTTAATGGCTATTTATTTCTGTTGACAGTGGCCAGAATCTTCTGCTGAAGAGCAGTAGAAGGTGATAATATACCCCTTACTCGTAGGATCTAGCACCTGATTTTGTTGCGAGTCCATTCTACTTTGCTTTGCTTGATGTAGTGAGAAGTCTAATAGCCTTTATCAGTAATAAATACATTTAAAATACATCAGTAATGAATACATTTAAAATTATTCTGAAGTCTTATTTTTGTTCACAGATTATGTATATATTTTTCAGTGACTGGAAAACAGTCTCCCTGGAAGCATGCTTCCTACCTAGTGTGTAGAAGACCTGATTTGCAATGGTTGAAAGAGCCTTATGTATTCTAATGTTGATACAAATATCCCTGTTACAGACCTATTGATACTTAGTTAACCTTATGGCACACTAAAATTTTACAAACACAACAAAGAGTTCTTTTGAGAGCTTTAATTTTTTTTGTTACCTTTTTGCCTCTGAACTTGTGCTATAACTGTTATTAGAGATCAGATGAAAATAAATCACTGTTTTCACACTTCAGAGAGGAGAAGATGTAGCTTAATGGCATGTGTGAAAAGCTTTATGGCAACTCTACTTGTGGAACCAATTGCTCAAATAAGAGCACTTCTCTTTTTGATATGTAATAGCAGCTAAAATACTCTATTTGTTGTGTAGTTGTGGTTTTTAGTGGAATTTTCCCCATAATTTTTCTAACAGAAATCCTGATAGAAAATTTCTTCTCCTGGTTTGCTGTCTTGCGTTTTCACTGGTTTAAAAGCTGTGGAACCAAAACAAGGGCTCAGGTTCCTAATTTCTAGGAGGTTTTACTCCTTTCTATTTATCCATCGGGTGGATCTGTCTTTTGACTTGGCATCAGCAGTAAATCTCCAGTGCTGAGAGCTCTGCTACACAAGGTGTATCAATTTCATGGAATCATAGGATGGTTTGGTTTGGAAGGGACCTTAAAGCTCATCTAGTTCCAACCCCTGCCACAGGCAGGGACACCTTCCACTAGACCAGGTTGCTCAAAGCTCCATCCAGCTTGGCGTTGAACACTTGCAGGAATGGGGCAGCCACAACTTCTCAGGGCAACCTGTGCCAGTGCCTCACCACTCTCACAGTAAATAATTTCTTCCTACTGTCTAATCTTAATGTACTCTCTGACAGCTTAAAGTCATTCCCCCTTGTCCTGTCGCCACATGCCCTTGTAAAAAGTCCATGTCCAGCTTTCTTGTAGGCCCCCTTTAGGTTATGGCCCCTGAAATGCTCCTGTAAGGTCTCCCCAGAGCCTTCTCCAGGCTGAACAAGTCCAGCTCTCTCAACCTGTCTCTCAGCTGTTCCAGCCCTGTAAGCAACTTCATGGTCCTCCTCTGGACTCACACCAGTGGGTCCACTTCTTATATTGGAGGCCCAAGAGCTAATGCAGTACTGCAGGTCGGATCTCGTGAGAGCAGAGTAGAGGGGCAGGATCACCTCGGTCACGCTCCTTTTGGTGCAGCCCAGGGTATGGTTGGCTTCCTGGGCTGTGGGCGCTCACTGAAGCTGGCTCATGTTCAGTTTCTCATAGACCAACACCCCCAAGACCTTCTCGTCAAAGTTGCTCTCAATCCCTTCTCTGCCCAGCCTGTATTGTGCTTAGGATTGCTATAAAATTGCCTGAAATTTCTTTAAGTGCTCAGAAATAAAAACAAACAAACAAAAAAACCCCAAACCAAACAAACCCCAAATTGTTTGGTTTTGTTTCTGTTTTTTTTTCAAAACTTTTATGCCAAATATTTGATGTCATTGTCTAAACTGTTAAAGGTTATTAGATTTGGATTAGACAAAGCACATGCAGTGGCTGTTTACAGAAGACTTGAACAAAGTAAATGATACTGAGGATGTTTTAATGTCTTGCTAACCTTGAGAAAATATTAGCAAAGCACAGGCATTTTTTCTTACAGTGATTCTTTAAATGACCACATTGCTTTCTGCATAACTCATACTGAATCTAACAGAAAAATTTCAGCCGCTTTTGTTGGGTGAGTGAATGATCTCTGATGCACTTGAAGCATGATGGATTCTGCAAAGAGTTATGTCTCCCCCTGAAATTATGCTTTAATTCTTGGCTTTGCTGTTTTGTTTCTTTTATGCTATCATTTTTCAACTTTTGGTAAGTAAACTACAGCTTCTTCCATGTTAACAAAATTCAAAAGCATGATGTGGTGCACCTGTAGTATATACTCTTATCCCCTTCATGTAACTTACAGGCTATTTAGAAGCTTCTGATCAGTATTGGGAAATTTATATGATAAACAGTGATGCTAAACTGGGCAACCTTTTCATTGGTGATTTCTTGTAGACTGTATAAACTGCATAGCTGTTTCTGAGAAGTTAAAATTCTTTGCTACTAAGTGCCTTTAAAACAATTATAATTCCCTGGCTACTGAGGCTTAATATTTGCTGTAACTTGCAAATGGCCTTCATTTTCTTTAATGGTTAAATTTCTAGGAATTATTTTTGAGGACATAACTGAGGTAAAATAGAATGCTTGAAAACCTCATTATGTTAAAATTGTTTTATGCATCTGATTACTCATTAGAATATTCTCCAGAGCAAAGTGTGTCTCCATTTATTTTGCTGTTGCTTCCTGAGAATGCTTTTGAAAAGTTAACTAACCCTAAGCCTTTCTTGATTGGGATTAGACTCTTAAATTTTATAATGACTCTTAAGGGGTTGCTGTGTGCTTCCTAGCACAATATGTTGTGACACAGTTGTATTTTCTGTAGTCTATGACAGAGTTAATATAATCAAATAAAACCCCACCCTTTTGGTGTTTGCGTGGTTTGGGATTTTTTGAATTCTGATGCATTAAACTCCAGAAGTCTCACTCAGTTGGTTGTTTGTTTTTGTATAAACTGTGCTTAGCTTCAACACCCCTTTGTGTATTTTGAAATGAAATTATTACAGTTTTATTACTTTCATTCTTCATTGGGTTACACTCTTTCCTGGGATTTCAGTCACTGCTTATACAAGCCACGCATGTTCTGAAAAAATACCTTTAATGCAAGTGGTGTTGTTTTCTCATTCACTGCTGTTAAAATTCCAGTGATAATTAGGCATTTTGGCCTGGTGTGTTCATGCTTACCCGATCGTAGCTGGTCTACAAGACTTTTCAGAAATCTAATGTGGAGAACCACAAACGTGTTCTCCAAGATACTGTGTAGCACAGGTAAAACGGTAAAACACTTTTATACAGGTGTTGGTTCAAACCATGTGCCCCACATCGGCTTTTTTTTTCTCCTGCTATTTCCTTTCTCACCTGCCTCCAAACTTGTCTGTTACAATGTCTTGTATATTTTCTGGCTGTCTTTTCTCTCTGCTCTTGTGCATGCATACTATTAGAGGTGTTAAGTGGCTGAACTCATGTGTCAGCTTTATGTATGTTTGTTGCCCCCTAACTCTCTGGGGAAAATTTGAGTGTGCATTTCTGTAATGGTGCCAATCATGAACAATTCATTTCTTCTTAGAAGTGGTGCACTTTCTCCAAAGAGGACATTTGTTGGACCCTCAGCGAGGGGCGGCAGAGATCGTTTTACTGGTGAATCATACACAGTGTTAGGTAAGGTGAACTTTTTACTTTTCTTAGAAGTAAAAAAATTCCACAGCATACTGCTTTGGAATGTCAGATTAGGATATGTGATTGTTCAAGGCTGCGTACTTGATGCTGTCAGTAGGTAGTTTTGCCTATATAACACCAGAATCTTGTGCTACAGCAAGGGTTTTCAAGTCTGTTGAAGCTCTCTGTTACAAAGCTTTTAGTCACTGACATTCACTGCTACTAAATGGGGAACTGATGTTAAGTGCATCTTACTGAGTGTAAGTAAAACTGTTTCGTTATTCTACTTTGTATTCTGTCATCTTGTACATTAATTTTTTCCTTATAGTTCACATTTTTGTATTTCATCTTGAAGTAAAACAGAGAAGGCATTACTGGTGTCTACAAGGGAGCAAGCATTGTCAGGTGCACTTAATTACAGCAACTAATTTTTTTTTTTTTGGTAGGAGACACCACTATTGAAAGTGGACAGCACTACTGGGAGGTGAAAGCCCAAAAGGACTGCAAATCATACAGTGTGGGAGTAACCTATAGAAACCTGGGGAAATTTGATCAGCTGGGAAAGACTAGTTCAAGCTGGTGCATCCATATCAACAACTGGCTGCAAACTATACTTTCAGCAAAACACAATAACAAAACAAAGACTCTAGATATATCTGTTCCAGACAGGGTAGGAGTATACTGCGACTTTGATGGAGGTAAATTATAATCTTAATCTAAAAACTTGGCTACCTGTGTGAAGCTGAAACAGTACAAGGCTAAAGTAGTACATTGCTTCAAGACTGATACAGTCTCTTATGAAAATAAGGCCCTGACCTGTTTGTGTAATAATGCTTGTAATCTCAAATTACCTGAGTTCATCTATGTAGATACTGAGCTACTGAGAATTTTCTAGTCAATGTAGATTGTATTTATTGTGTTCTGAAACTCTTTCCCTATGGAACAGTGAACTTTACAAAAAGTCATACAGTAACACATAGTAACTTGAGCATGTATTTCAGTTTGTTTTCTGTCTCTTTTAGGTCAGCTTTCATTTTATAATGCAAACTCAAAGGAGCTGTTATACACCTTCAGAACAAAGTTTACCCAGCCATTATTACCAGGCTTCATGGTCAGTATTCATAAAATTTTCTTCAGTTTCTGCAGTAAATTAAGTTTACTGAAGACTTAATTGTTTATTTGTTTATTTGTTTGTTGGGTGGTTTTGTTTGTTGGCTGGTGTTGTTTGTTTTTTTTTTTAGAGGAGAAAACTGGGAGCACTGGTTTTGGCTGACTAGTAGGGGTTTTAAATGTTTAACTGTTTTCTCTTTGATTTCGTATAGTGCTTATAATAGCACTCCAGTAGGAGAAATCTGCACCTGGATGTCTCAGCTATATACATTAAAGTCATTAAATTTTTGTAGGGTAAATTAACAGCACATTCTAGTAGCTGATGAGCCCGCTGTAATAACCAATCCAGACCAATGCAGGTGGGAATTCAAGATGCTGTGAGCTGTCAGAATAGGTGTCACGAGACAAAACACCACCAGATGCTTCCCTGTTGAGATACAAGACTCTTAGCTTTCAAGTCTTCAAAAGCTCAGTTGTTTCACTGCTCTGCATAACTCTTTTGTGGCTCTAAGCTTAATAGTGAAAACTTGCTGCAATTCTATGCAGGGAAAAAAAAATGCATAGCAGAAGCATTAATTACTGTATTTAGGCTTGCCTTTAATGATTTCAGTAACTAAATCTGGAGGCCTCAGTTGCGTTATAAGCTGCCATTAAGGGCATCGTACTTTGGGTGCAGAGTATAGGTCTAGAAAACTTAGGAATCTGGAGGAAGCTAGCATACTAGTTCATACTAACAACTCAGCTGCCTAGGTACTGATCTCTAGCTTCTTATAATTCAGCCATAGAAAACACAGCATGGTAATTCTGAACCGTGATTAGGCCAATTAATAAAGTTGTTTTTCTCTTGGGCGTGAAGGAGGAATGGAAAAGTAGTAATTTGCCCTAGCAGCCTTTATATATAGCGCTTCCAAACACCTGATTTTTCCTTCTATTGGACAGAATATTTTTCACAATTTCTACTGTTAGCTAGATGTACTGACAATAGGATTTTAGACTTTTAATAGCTAGCTATTTGGAGATGACTAAGCAAGTTACTTTGCTGGTCCCTTCCAACATATGGGGAACTTAATAGCTTCAGAACTGTTGGGATACAAGTATTAGTCATCCTTTAGCATTGTGAAGACTGACTCTTTGAGTCAGTTCCTAAAGCATCCAAGGAAACACTTGCTTACCCCACATCAGCCTGTTAGTCTGCATCTCATATAGCCCCTCATACTTAGTTATAGCAGTCTTGCAGACATTACTTGGGTTAGCCTGAACAGTTAAAATAGAAACAAAGAAGCTAATTACAGTTCTCAAATTCATTCATAAACATGGAGATACATTCTTTCATGTAACTTCGGTGTAGAATAAAGGTCACTAGCACCTGTGCTGCTGAAGCTTCTCATAATTTAATGTAAACATAGTACACAAATTGGCATAATCCTGCTGTGTCATACTAAAACTAAGCACTGCTTTCAAACACTGGAGCATAAGAGTATTGTGTTTCATCGTCATTCTAACTACTTGCTGGTAGCATGCTGGTCTTCAAAGAAGTTTTCTTATTGGGAAAACTTTTTGTATTATAACTTAGACTTTGTTGCTCTAAGTTCATAATGAAGTATAGCATGTGAAGCATCTTAAACTTTATCATCTTAAATTTATCATCTTAAAAGTTAGCTTCTCTTACGTCAGAATGTTTTACAGAGCGCTGTGACTAGTGAACAAGAGAAGACAGATGCAGCTGCAGGATAAGTTTTGTGGTAGTTCCATTGTGCGATGTGAGACGAGAGATATAGATGTTTCATAATATTCAGAATATTGATCTTTTTATCTTTTTTTCTTCTCCTTAGACCTGGTGTGGTGGGCTTACAGTGAGTACTGGATTGCAGGTGCCAAGTGCTATTAGCATGGTCCAGAAAAGTGAAAATAGATTGAGTGGTTCAACAAACAGTCTAAACAATATTGCCTACTAATGTCTGATAAACACTTCTCTTGCTGAATGTTTTTTTTTTTTTCCTGTGTAGCTGGTACTCACAGAAGCTTGTGAGCACTGGATTACACTAGGTTTGCTACCTACTGTTGTTTAAGGCCTGGGTACTGATAGTGCAAAGTTTTGGGGCTATAGTGTTAATAAAACCTACTGTGAATTAAGAGAAATGTCAGAAAACTGAAATGTTGCCCTTTTGAAAACAATAAGTGAGAAATCAAAAGCTGTAACTTATGTACTTTTCTAATACTGTATTTAAACATTTTGTTATGGACTTGAGTATTTTTATTTTTTTATGAAGAGTAAATATAATTAATACCATTTTCTTAGCTGTCCTAACATAAATTACTTCATTATATTATTACTAGGCTTCCTGTTAGAACTTGTGATGTGAAACATGTGTTTCAAAAGGATATTTATTTGAGCCCAGGCACACATTTTTGCTAGCTGCTTTGACTAGCAAGCCTAGTGAGGATTCCTGGAACTTTCTGAATAACCAGGTAACTCCAAAAATTGCATGATTTTTTTTACCCAGCAGAAACATAGATTCCATGCATAACCTGTTTGCCTTGTTCCGTACACTATGTTAATGTGGCTATAAGACTGTTTTTGTGGATAAAAAATTGGCTGGATGGCTGCATGCAAAGATTTGCAGTCAACAGCTTAATGCCCAATTGCCCTCAAGGGTTGGAGTTGGGACCAGTCCAGTTCAAAATCTTTGTCAATGACATGGACAGTGAGATTGAGAGTGCCCTCAGCAAGTTTGCCGATGACACCAAGCTGTGCGGTTTGGTTGATATGCTAGACGGAAGAAATGCCATCCAGAGGGACCTTGACATGCTTGTGAGGTGGGCTGATGCCAACCTCACGAAGTTTAACTGCAAGGTCCTACACCTGGGCTGGGGCAATCCCAGGTACGGCTACAGCTTGGGCAGAGAAGAGATTCAGAGCAGCCCTGCAGAGAAGGGCTTGGGGGTGTTGGTTGATGAGAAAATGAACATGAGCCAGCAGCATGCGCTCACAGCCCAGAAAGCCAACTGTATCCTGGGCTGTATCAAAAGGAGCGTGACCAGCAGGTCAAAGGAGGTGATCCTGCCCCTCTACTCTGCTCTCATGAGACCTCACCTGGAGTATTGTGTGCAGTTCTGCTGTCCTCAACATAAAAAGGACAAGAAAGGACAAGAAACTGTTGGAACAAGTCCAGAGGAGGGCTACGAGGAAGATCAGGGGGCTGGAGCACCTCCCGTATGAAGGGAGGTTGAAGGGCCGTTGGAGGCCTGTAACTAGTGGAGTGCCTCAAGGGTCAGTACTGGGACCGGTATTATTTAATATATTCATCAATGATTTAGATGAGGGAATTGAGTGTACTATCAGCAAGTTTGCTGATGACACTAAGCTGGGAGGAGTGGCTGACACGCCAGAAGGCTGTGCTGCCATCCAGGGAGACCTGGACAGGCTGGAGAGTTGGGCAGGGAATAACTTGATGAAATATAACAAGGGAAAGTGTAGAGTCCTGCATCTGGGCAGGAACAACCCCAGGTTCCAGTATAGGTTGGGGAACGACCTGCTAGAGAGCAGTGTAGGGGAGAGGGACCTGGGGGTCCTAGTGGACGACAGGATGACCATGAGCCAATACTGTGCCCTTGTGGCCAAGAAGGTCAACGGCATCCTGGGGTGTATTAGAATGGGGGTGGTTAGTAGGTCGAGAGAGGTCCTCCTTCCCCTCTACTCTGCCCTGGTGAGACCGCATCTGGAATATTGTGTCCAGTTCTGGGCCCCTCAGTTCAAGAAGGACAGGGAGCTGCTGGAGAGAGTCCAGCGCAGGGCAACGAAGATGATTAAGGGAGTGGAGCATCTCCCTTATGAGGAAAGACTGAGGGAGCTGGGTCTCTATAGTTTGGAGAAGAGGAGACTGAGGGGTGACCTTATAAGTGTCTATAAATATATAAAGGGGGAGTGTCACGAGGATGGAGCCAGGCTCTACTCAGTGGCAAACAATGATAGGACAAGGGGTAATGGGTACAAACTGGAACACAAGAGGTTCCACTTAAACTTGAGAAGAAACTTCTTCTCAGTGAGGGTGACGGAACACTGGAAGAGGCTGCCCAGGGAGGTTGTGGAGTCTCCTTCCCTGGAGACATTCAAAACCCGCCTGGACACATTCCTGTGTAACATTATCTAGGTGTTCCTGCTCCGGCAGGGGGATTGGACTAGATGATCTTTCGAGGTCCCTTCCAATCTCTAGCATACTGTGATACTGTGACTGTAGCAGTAGGACAAGGGTCAATGGGTTTAAGCTAGAACAGGTGAAGTTCAGGTTAGATATAAGGAGGAAGTCCTTTACTGTGAGGGTGGTGAGGCACTGGAACAGGCTGCTCAAAGAAGCAATAATTGCTCCATCCCTGGCAGTCTTCAAGGCTGGGTTGGACAAAGCTTTGGGTGACATGGTTTAGTGTGAGATGTCCCTGCCCATGGGAGGGGTGTTGGAAGATCTCTTTATAACTTCCAACTTACGACATTTCCTTTTTTTAAGGGCAAGGACAAAGTGTACAGTGAGCAAGTGCTTTCCCAGCTAACCTAATCTGCTGCTGGATCTGCAGGTTTACATTTTCTTTCACAAATCAAATGAAATGTTGAGCCTTGGTATTCCATCATCTCAATTTCTATTTGGAAGCTTAGTAAACACAGTCAAATGACTATTAACAGTGGGAGAGCTAAAAAAAACCCAAACAAATCATGTTATATTCTTCATGGAAAATCTCAGCTTTTCAATGAGAATAACTTGTGTATTATAGACTGCTTAAATTTGCTTTCTTCCCTCTAATCAAGTCCAGGAACCTAGAAGCAATTTTCAGATACACAATTGAATTGAGTGTTTCCTAACTGAAGTTTTTTTTTCCTAATATCACCTGAGAACTGTTTCTACTTCATGCTGATAGGGTCCATAATGAATTGGCTTCTTTCCTACAGGGCCAAAGTAGGAAAGGAATAAAAATTTTTTGTGTATGTATCTCTCAGTCCATAAAAAACATAACCATCTAATTGTGTTAAATTTTGTTAGTATCAGTGGGTCCTTTGTATCCGTCAGGATTTCTCAAGAGGAGGAGAATTCCTTAAAAGTAATAAACTGGTTGTGATGTTCAGTGGAAAATTGAAGTTTTCCTTCAGTGGGAAACTTAATTTTTTTCCTAATACCTGCTCGAGAAAGTTTTGTTTCCCTTGAGAAATCATGAAGTTGACAAGACAGTTGAGCCCCTAATGTTCATTTCATATCTGGAACTTGAGCATCCCTAAATATTTGCATTTTGAACAAAGTTAGCTGTAATAGTTCTTGCAGAGGAAAGTGCAAAACAATTCCCAGTTTAACTGCACCTTCCTCTACCATTTAAGTATTTTGGGTCTTGAAACAAAAATCCTGGAAGGTGACATGGTTTTAAAATCAACAGTGTCTGAATCTTCCACAGATTATCTACAATTGTTGTTGTTCACATAGTCTGTGTAGTAATCTTCAATATTTCTTCCTCACTTCTTTTGTTTTTACTGCAATTGTCCTGGGTTCAGCTGTAGCTGTCTGGATGTTTAGGGGCTCATCTGCTATCAATTCAGTGGTATATGAGGGAGGATTGCATGCCTGGACCCTGGTGGTGTTTAGAATGAGGATGGTTAAGACAGATACTTCGTGTTTTGAGGCTTGTTCTAATAAATGATTGTGATAGACATTGAAATAGGATAGTACCTATTCCCAGTGCCCGGTCATTTGCTTCATCTTGGGTGTTCAGCTGCAGTTCCTATTTAAATTTCCCTTTTTGAAAAGAAAGGGGATGTTTACAGTAGTTAATGTGGGATGTGAAAGAACCACATCTCCAACCCTTCATAAGAGCATTTAAATGATGATGATTTTTCTAGCAAGATGTTGTGCAACCTGTAAGGTAAATTTGATATGCACAAGTAAAAATGTAATTTAACACTTAGAAGAAAGCTTGAAGTATTTCACTGTGACTTGTGACTTGCAAGTTTTAACTGATGATGCCCTAGATGAACTTAACATATGACTTTTTACTCTTAAAAGATAAATTTGTTACGTAATAGTTTGCACAGATGTCAGATTTTTGCTGCTAACAGCTAGTCCAATTGTTTCTAGTAAATGGGGATATGAAGAATTGCCTTAAGCACTTTAGGGTTTTTTTTTGACTCTTCTTTTTTTCTGAGCTAGTGTCTGTCGGATACCAATGTATTGGTGAGGCTTTGTTACAGTTGGTGCACTGTTTGTACCTGCAGCTAGAGAGGGTTGTGGCTGGTGAAGCTACTGTTTTTTTTTCTGGGGATAGGAGGGCTTGTTCTTTGGCAATGGATTAGACCTTTGGATGTCTGTAGCTTTTGCCCCGCAATTAACCCTAAATGTAATATGCCCGGTGACTTTAATACTCTGTGAGCCTCTCCTGTGGGGTTAATGCTGTCTGGTGGCTAGGCAGTTTCCTGCTTTATGACCAAAATGAATTTAAAATAACTTCAGGATGAGTTGTGAGGAACTGAAGATTTCTCTGGAGTTTTTAATACATCAGAAAAGTGTAACTCTTGACTGTTTCTGCATAAAGCTGTATGGACTGCAGCAAGGGATGCTGCTTTCAGAAAGCAGTTAAAAGCATCCAGGTGGTAGGTGCTCCTCCAGATACCAAATCTGAATGGCAGAGTGTAACAGGCTTATTTCTTTAGCCACCCTTTTCAGCAGAGAAAGTAGAGGCTAATGTACAAATCCTGTTTCCTCCTGCTTTGCACCATCCCATGTTACTAGAGTTTCTTTCAAGGACTAGGGAAACCAGTTCCCTCGGGAAGAACATCTGGCTCACCAGTATCTTAGTCTGATAATGGTCACAGCTTATGAATGATGCCTAGTTTGATAGACAACGGCATCGACTTCTGCTCATCATTGCCCCACTGGAAATCGGACACTCCGGATGCCCTGTGGAAGGGGAAGCCTGAATGTAGTCTTCCCTCCTCACCACGCCGAGCAACGGCATCCTCCATTGCCTCGTCCTGCGGCGCCTACCCCTGCGGCCAGCGCGGGGTTTACCCGGTCCTCCCTTGGCTCTACCTCAGATCTTCTCCATCAGTGCTTCATCGCGGCCGGGAAGGGCAGGAAGGCGGCCCCCGGGCGTGGCTTTAGGGCCGCGCGGTGTTTCGGGATCTGTGACTTGTGTGAAGGCGAGCTTTTTCTATTAAAGAGACACCTGGAAGCGGGCGCGCCCGTGTTCTCGTTCCATCCTTCCTCCGCGGACGTGGGCTAGCTGGGAGGGCCCGCTTCCCGGTACGTTGCAGGCGAGCCCCCGGGCCAGCAGGGGGCGTGCTCTCCCCCACCGCGCATGCGTGGGCAGCCGCGGGCGGTGCTCTGCAGCGAGGGTAGCGAGGTGCGTGAGGGGCCCGCGGCCCGGTGCGGCGAGCGGGCAGCGGGCAGGACCGTGCGGGGCGGGGCGGTGGGGGAGGCTTTTCCCAGGGCCTCGGCTCGGGTCTGCTGATTTGCGGCCTGTTGCGGTCCC